CTCAAGATGTGATCAGACTAGATTTAGGGTGGACTCTAAATCCAATGACTGGTGTCCTTATAAGAGAAAGGCGGGGGAGATTTGAGATACACACAGAGGGGACAACCATGTAAAAATAGAGGTAGAGATTGGCATCTATCAGGGAAGGAACCCAAGGATATCCAGAGCCACAGGAGGTCAGAGAGAGGCATGGTTCCAGAAGGAACCAACCCTGCCAACACCTTGATTTTAAACTTCTGGCCTTCAGAACAGAGAGTAAATTTCCATTGTTTATAGCCACCAAATTTGTAGAACTCTGTTACGGTTATCTCCAGGTTATTGGAGGATTGAATGAGCTAAGATGTGTAAAGGGACTAGAACAGTGCCAGGCAAGTGGTGAGTGCTACATAAGTACTAGCCATCAGCACTCAGTGATTTCCTCATTCTACAACTTTTTACTGAGCATCACTTTTGGGCCAGCACTGTGATTCTACCTCAATTTTGCATTGAAAGGTTTCAGTGGATTGCATGTTAGTGTCCCCCCCGAAATTCATATGTTGAAATCCTAACTTCTGTTAGGATTTCAGTACCATCAATGTGATGGTATTGGGAGAGGCGGAGCCTTTGTGAGGAAAGGAGGTCATGAGAGTGGAGCCCTCAATGGGATCAGTGCCCTAATAAAAGGGACCCCAGAGAGTTCTTTTCCCCTCTTTCCACCACATGAAGACACAACGAGAAGTCTGCAGCCCAGAAGAGGGTCTTCATCAGAACCCGACCAAGATGGCATCCTGATCTCAGACATCCAGCCTCTAGAACTGTGAGAAATAAATTTATTTTGTGTATAAGCCACCCAGTCAGTGGGGCTTTGTTATATCGGCCTGAACTAAGACAGAGGTTTTTGTTTGTTTTTTTGTTTTAACATCTTTATTGGAGTATAATTGCTTTACAATGGTATGTTAGTTTCTGCTTTATAACAAAGTGAATCAGCTATACATATACATATATCCCCATATCTCCTCCCTCTTGCATCTGCCTCCCACCTTCCCTATCCCAGCCCTCTAGGTGGACACAAAGCACCGAGCTGATCTCCCTGTGCTATGCAGCTGCTTCCCACTAGCTATTTATTTTACATTTGGTAGTGTATATATGTCCATGCTACTCTCTCACTTCGTCCCAGCTTACCCTTCCCCCTCCCCGTGTCCTCACAAGTCTATTCTCTACATCTGTGTCTTTATTCCTGTCCTGCCCCTAGGTTCTTCAGAACCATTTTTTCTTTTTTCTTTTAGATTCCATATATATGTGTTAGCATACGGTATTTGTTTTTCTTTTTCTGACTTACTTCACTCTGTGTGACAGACTCTAGGTCCATCCACCTCACTACAAATAACTCAGTTTCGTTTCTTTTTATGGCTGAGTAATATTCCATTGTATATATGTGCCACATCTTCTTTATCCATTCATCTGTCGATGGACACTTAGGTTGCTTCCATTAAGACAGAGGTTTTATGTTATGTGCCTTATTGGACATGAATGTATGTGAACTATGTGAACTACATTGTATGTGAACTACATTCCAAAGCCCTCCAAAGGGGCTTTTTGTCTGAAACAAATGTTTGACATTCATAATCACCCAAGATGTCAAAGGGAATAGAAATACTGCATGTTTATAAATGCATTTTTCCTCATATTATTGGAAAAAGAGAAAATTCCTGAAAAGCAGAAAAGAAAATAATCATCCATAATTTGATGCATAGCCACTATTTACATTTTAATGTCTTTTCTTCGGGGCTTTTTTTATGCATAGTTTTTTTTCATATAATTATATCTATTCTCCATATGCAATTTTTATCTTTCTTTTTTCAACTATTATATCACAAGCATTTTCCATATTATACAGATTTTGTGAACATTGCATTTTATGACTCCATAATGTTTCGTGCTAGGATTATGGCATGGCTTATTTAACCAAACATTTAAATTAAAAAACAATTTTTTTCACTATTAAATATGCTGTTGTGATGATAATCTTGTTGCATAAACTCACCCCCTCCCAGTCCCCAGCCCACCACCAGTATTTCAAGTGACTTCATTAAGCTACATATTCCAATGTGTAATTACTGGATCAAAGGGTGTGACCATTTTAAGGCATTGGATACACACTTAAAAGTGCTCTCTTAAAAAAGGCTGTGCCAGTTTACACTCTGATCTGCAATGTTAAGAACATACCCATTTTGCCACACTTGTGTTAATATACCTATTATCATTTAAAAAGACCAGCTAATTTGAAAAGCATGAAATGTGGTTGTTTTATTTGCATGGCTTTGATTAGTAGTAATACTGAACATTTTCCCCATGTTTGTTAAACCATAACATTTCCTCTCTGGGGAAATATCTGTTTAGACCCTTTCTCTATTCATCCATCAGCATCTTTGTTTTTCTTAAAGATGTTTATTAATTCAAATATAAAAATACATGGTTCCTTTTTGTTATATTTGCTTCAGATGTGTTTCTCTGTTTATTGTTTTCCTTTTAAGTTTGATTTTTTTTTTTTTATGGACAGAACATTTAAATTTTTTGTAAGCACATCTGCCCATCTTTTCCTTTGTGATTTTTTTAATCTTTTCTAAATCTACTCACTTCTCTGCAGAAGCTTGATAAATATTCATTTCTCTTTTCTTATTGTTTATTTATGCTTCAATTAAAAAGTAACTCTTTGCTCTATCTAGAATTTGTTTGGGTGCGTGACATTGAAGAGACTTTTCACATGGCTAATCATTTGTCCCAATATGATTTATTCAGTAATCTTATTTTTTCCCTTCTTTATTATATAGTAAATTCTCACATATATTGGAGTATAATCTAAGCCATATGTTATGTTTAGTTGAACCAATGTACCACATTGTTTAAATGACTATATTTTCAAAGTCTGTTTAAATACCTATTCATGCTGGTCCCCAGGTAGTTCAGGTTTAAGGAGAGACATCTGGAATGAACTGTCTTTACTCTTTCTCCTGCCTCACAGCAAGAAACCTGTTTGAAGACAAACAATGGTGATAGTGACAGCACCATAAAACAAAGAATAATGCCAATCCCAGGAAACAAGTCCACCTGAAAAGATCTTTGGTTCTTTTCCTTTTCATTTCAGCTTAATTGAAGTATATTTGTACAACATGGTGATTTGATATACATGTACATTTTGAAAGGATTCCCCTGACCTAGTTAATTAACACATCCATCACCTCACATATTTATCTTTGTGTGTGTGTGAGAGAGAGAGAATATTTAAGTTCTGTTCTGTTAGCAAATTTCATTTATACAAAACAGTGTTATCAACTGTAGTCACCAGGTTATACATTAGATCCTCAGACCTTATTCATTTTATAACTAGAAGTTTGTACCTTTTTACCAGCCTTTCCCCATTTCCCCCATCCCCAGCTCTTGGCAACCACTTTTCTAATCTCTGTTGTTATGAGTTTGACTTTTTTTTTTTTTTAAGATTCCACATATAAATGATACCATGCAGTATTTGTCTTTGTCTGGCTTATTTTCCTTAGCATAATGCCCTCAAGTTCCACCCAAGTTATGAAAAATGGCGGCATTTCCTGCTTTCTCAGGGCTGAACAATATTCCATTGTATAAATATACTACATCTTTATCCATTCATCCATTGACAGACACTTAGGTCATTTTCGTATCTTGGCTATTGTGAATAATGCTGCAGTGAACGTGTGAGTGCAGATATCTTTTGGGGATAGTGATTTCATCTCCTTTGGATGGATACCCAGAAGTGGGAGGGCTGGTAGCTCTCTTTTTAATTTTTTGAGGAACCTCCATACTGTTTTCCATGTTGGCTTCACCGTTTTACATGCCCACCGACAGTGCACGAGGGTTCCCTTTTCTCCACATTCTCACCGACATGTGGTACCTCTTGCCTTCTTGAGGACAGCCATCCTAACAGGTGGGAGGGGATATCTCATAGTGGTTGATTTGCATTTCCCTGATGATTAGTGAGGTTGAGCATCCTTCCGTGTGCCTGTTGGCCATCTGTTTGTCCAATCACTGATCCTTGAAGACGATTTTGTGTCCAGCTCTCCTCTGTTGTCCACCCTGACGTCTACTCTTGTTACTCCAAGTTGGGACTGGGAGTTGAAAGAGGATGAGCTTCCTGGAGATGAGTTTTATTCTCACCCTCACCATGTGCAGCATTGTAGATCCCTTGGGTGACCAAAGCTCACTTCTTCACTAGTTTTTCTTCCATTTACCTCTGCCTGAATTTCCTTCTTCCCCTCCAGCCTGACAAGTGCCTTGCCATCATGGGCACCCACTGACTTGCTTTCTTTCTCAGAGGATTGCATTTCTTCCTGATAGGAGGCAGATGCCCCCCACCCAAGGTCAAAACCTTATTCTTAAATCCTTGGAATACATCTCTGTCGACTTCCTTCCAGACCTGATAATTTTCAGATTTTGTTACTTCTAATTTTCCTCACATATTCTCAAGTCCTTTGTTACACACAGCAGGGGATGAGAAGAGCTAAATTAGGGGGATGTAGAATTCATGGTAGGAAAGGGGGACCAAGGAGCTATTCCATAGGAAAACCCTCCAGGCTATCTAAGTGGAGCTCCACGTGTCCCAGAAGTTAAAGGAGCAATATTCAATACACATGCTGCCCAAAACAGTCAGGCAGGAACCTCTAGCCAACAGGGCAAACAGATCACAGGATATTAATACTCCACCATATCTGCAGGCCAGCTCAGACTTGTCATCCTCTCATCTTGCTATAGGAGCTGATAGTCTCTGTTTAGCATTTTGAAAATGAATTCAGATTCTAAAAGGGCATGTTTTCAAAATCCGTCAGAACAAAGCCCGTGAAAGGTCTGAGCAGATCATACCACTATGGATCAGATTTCAGCAAAGGCGCCAGGTGTAGTAAAAATACCCAGGGCAGGATTTATTCGTTCACTTGTTTACTTATTCATTCATTCATGCAACAAATACTTACCAAATTCTTACTCTGTGGCAGGCAGTCTTCTCATCCTAGAACTTGGGATCCAGTGGTGAAATCAGCCTGGTCTAATGGAGAAAGCATTCTAGCCAAATCAAATGGAGGAGACAGGTAACACAATGCATTATTTCTCCTTCGGCCTTCTTTTTCAACCTTCTCCATTAACGCTTATAAATGAAATGTGGAAATCTAATCTGGTTGCGGTTTACTGGTAATCAGTAGAGATACTTTCCACACAGGCAACGCTGCTGGAAGCTACGTGGTGAATATGTATTGTGACTCTTATAAATATGTTTCTGCTTAGCACTGCCTCTTGAGAAGAAATGATTTCACATCCACTGGGAATCTGCATCTGAGCTATTTTGCTAGTAAAACAACCAAAGGACAGATAACAGACAGTTCTTCTCACGTGGGATCAGAGAAACTGGAGATGTCTGAGGGGGTGGCAGAGTCTTTTCTTGTAGATCCACCCAATATAGCAGGTTGTTTGAAAACAAAGAAAAAAATAGTTTTCTTCCCCCTAAGGGGTTAAAAAAGGGAGGGGGGGGAAATGAACATTCAAATAAGGAAGATTCAAGATTAGTTATAGATACTTTATGGGCTTAACTGAGAGTTGGGAAATTCTTAATTATAAGTTAAAATCTCTTGACTTCTCTATTTGATTCTGCAAATCCATACTTAGCCATGGCTTGTTATTGGCCTCGTACAGTGTTTGGCATAGAGTGGGCCCTAAATGAGTTTCTTTTTCTTTCTTTTTTTTTTTTTTTTTTTAACAGGGCACTGTGACAGATTCTGGAGATATAAGATACTGCCATTAGCCTTAAGGAGGGAAGACAATTTTGTGAACAGCTAGCTCTAATGCAATAATTACCAATGTTCATTGAGCTCTTACTGTATTCCAGGTACCAGGCTCAACACTTAATCCCTGTTACCACCTTTAAATCTTGTAACAATCCTATGAAATGGGCACTAATGTCTTCTTTGGTTAAGGATGAGGACACGGATGCTGAGAGAGCTTCACAATACTACACAGGAATGGTGACTGGAACCCAGATCTTTGTGATTCAAATGTCTCCATGCTTGAGTACCCAGCTGCCTGGCCTCTCTCGCTGTCTCTGTTGCCTTGCAGGTATGGGTAATGTATCTAGAAGGCAGGACAGGGAAGGTGGCTGGTTCTCCCGGAGGAGGGTTTGGAAAATGTTCACCGGGAAAGTGCGTTTCACTTGTCACCTTGAAGGTTTCTAGCGCGGGTGAGCTGGGTGATTCAGCATGCCGTTAACTGAGACGCTGGACACTCTACCACATCATTTTGCTGCTAGTCTGGTTTTGTCCTGGTGACCCCAACCGGGTAACTGCAAACTCATCCATCTTGATGGGCACCTCAGTGTCTGGATTGAGAGGAGAACTTGGCCTCCCTTCCAGCCCCTCTTCCTCGATCAGTGACTGAGGCTGTCTCCCTGACAGTGGGGCCTTCCTCCCTGTCTGGATGCCCTCTGGATCTCCATTTCTCTTGTGACTTCATGCCGGGCAGTGCTGACTTTGGGCTGAGCTACAACTTCTGTTATTGACAAACGCACCTGGAAAATTGACCCAGTCGGCTAGGTTTTCTCTCTTAGCCTGTAACCAACCTTCACTCTGCAATCCCATCAGTGTGGATTCCAGTGCAGTGGCTCCATTAAGTCCCAGCTAATGGCCTTTTCATTCCCCTTTTGTCATGCAGCTCACCCCACTTCAGGCCATAGGAAAAGGGCTGCAGCATTGCTTTCGGAGCTGGGCAAGAAGGATCCCTGTGCTTTGGAGGCCCCATCCTGGTTCCTCTCTGCCTATGTCCCCCTCCCCACACCACCCACACACATTATGAAAAATTGTCATGCCAAGGAACATACATATCCAGAGGCAGTGCCCTCCTAGACCACAATCTGCTCATCAGAATCCTGAAATTCCCTGTTCAAATGGCCCCATGCCCACTTTCAGGACCTGTTCGGGGGTCTTCCCGTGTCTGTCTTCCAGAGGGTGGGTTATGCTGGTATGTGCCTTCCTAGGCCTCAGGGCTGTTTGTGGCAGAGTGTGGACAGGCTTGGACATGCAGTCTAGGGTATACACAGGCTTGTACAAGAGGATGTGGTGTAGAACAGAGCTGAGAGTGGGCCAAGGGCTCAGAGGTGGCGTTCCCCATACATGGAATGGGTTTGAGAACTCTGCAAGTGAACTTGGCCTTCTAGGTTGTTGTGAAGGTATATTTATCAAGGAAGCAGGCTAGAACATATGTTATTTAGGTTTTCATTTTGTTAACTATTTAACATATGGTATATGGGCCTTGTGTTTTTACTCTTGCCGTTAGCCCTTGCAAATGTTAGAGGTGAGCAGACCATCGTACTCTTATCTTTTATGAAGGAACCAAATCTGGACAATTTTTTTCTTTCTCCTAGGGAAAGGTGCATCTTGGTGTATTTCTTGCCAACATGAAGATGTTAGTTCTGGGCACAGTCACAAGATGCCAGATGGTACCCAGGTACCAACTGCTAACTATTGATGAATTATACCATTTAGAGACTAGAAAATCCTGACTGCTTTCTATGTGGCCCTATGGTAGCTCATGGGATGTGGGAAAGATTTACTGCCTTGTTTAAACAGAAAGGACCACATGTCAAGTAAGCAGGGAAATTCATCTCTCAAAGAGGACCCTTCCTATGTTTTATCACAAATCCCTATTATCATAAACCAGCCATTATGGTAAGCCAAGCACTTTCATACGTAACTCACATGAATTACATTTTATGGAATATTATTGGGAACCAATCACTCTTCTTTCCTCATTCAACCTCTTGGAAATAACCCACATAGAAGTCATACACTCTTATCACATTGCTTTTGCTAAGAGATATTGTATTAGATATACACTGCTGTGTAAGAAATTGCCCCCAAAACTTAACAGCTTAAAATAGCAGCACTTAGGAATCGGGGTGTGGCTTAGGTGGGTCCTCTGGCTGAGGGTCTCTCAATCAGCTACAATCAAGTTGTGGCCAGGGCTGCTCCATAAGGCTCAGCTGCAGGGGAGGGAGTCCTCTTCCAAGCCCACTCACCTGGTTGTTGGTGGGATTCACTTCTTCATGGGCTGTGGGACTGAGCCTGCCCTCAGTTTGTGCCACATGAGTCTCTCCACAGGGCAGCCCACAGCAGGGCAACTTGCTTCAGCAGAGGAAGAAGAGAAAAGAGCTTGAGAAAAAAAGTGCGAGCAAAACAGAAGTCACAGTGTTTTGTAACCTAATCTTGGAAGTGACCGTGGGATACAACATTCTAAGATGTTCCCCTGGTGTACACATCCTGTATGACCCAGGAGTGTGAATATGATGGGCTGGCACTCCCATGATTCTATTACATCATATGGCCAAAAGGATTTTGCAAATGTAATTAAAGTCTTAGATCAGTTGACCTAAAGATAGGGAGATTATCTGGGTGGAACTGACCTAATCACATGAGGCCTTTAGAAGGGTAGCTACCACATGTGTATTTAATGAGTCTGGGTCTCAAAGTCAGAGATGAGGGAAGTCAGAGATTCAAAGCACAGGAAGGGTTAGACATGCTCTTGCTGACTTGAAGATGAAAGGGGCCATGTGGCAAGGAATGCAGGTGGCCCCAGTAGCTGAGAGCAGCCCACAGATGACAGCCAGGAAGGGAAAAGGAACCTTAGTGCTTCAACTGCAAGAACTGAACTCTGCAAACAGCAAGAATGGGCTTGGAAGTAGATTTTCCTCCAGAATCTGTAGAAAAGGACTCAGCCTGGCCCACACCTTGATTTCACATTCGTGACACTTAGAGCAGAGAACCCAGGTAACCTATACCCAGATTCCTGGCCCACAGAAAGAGTGAGATAATAAATGCGTATTGTTTTCAGCTTCTCTGCGTGTGGTGATCTGTTGTACAGTGTTATAGACTGAATTGTGTCTCCTACCCTCAAATTCACATGTTAAAGCCCTACCTCCCAGTGTGATTGTGTTTGGAGATAAGAACAATGAGGTAATTAAGGTTAAATGAAGTCATAAGGTGACTGATCCAAACAGAAAGCTCACTCACTCTTTCCATACACACTCACCAAGGAAAGACCATGTAAGGATGCAGTAAGAAGGCGGCTGTCTACAAGCCAGAAAGAGAGCTCTCACCAGAAACCGAATTGGCTGGAACCTTGATCTGGGACTTCTAGGCTCCAGAACGGTGGAAAAATAAATGTCTGTTGTTTAAGCCCCCTCATCTGTGGTATTTTGTTATGCAGCCCAAGCTAATACATGCAGTGATAGAAAACCAACAGTAACTTTCCATCACTGTTGCTGTTTTGTTCATTAAAGGTAAAGTCACTAGATCCAGCCTACACTCAGGGGGAGGGGTTCCCTAGGGTGTAACACTAGGTGATGGGGATCATTGCATGCCAGCTTAGAAGTCTACCTGCCACAGATATATTTAACAAAAAATACAACAAAACGAAAATATCATTTAGCACATATACCAAACATTAAGTAGGTGAACTGCACCCTGAGAATATTGGGGTAATTCCAGTCCTCAACACCATCCACTCCTTGCGCAGTTGTGGCAGTTTTCTATTTCCCATGTGGGCACGGCACACCTTGGGGCAACTTGCTTCTCTGTTCAGCTGGGTGGCAATGTGGCATAGTGGTGCTTGGCACATTAGTAAGTTAAAGTCCCAGTTCTGCACCTTCCTAGGTATGTGGTCTTCTTGAGCAAATTACTTATATATTCTGAAACTTTGTTTTCTGGCATGTAAAATGGGCATAAGAAGAATACTTGACCCACAACATCATTAAGAGGAATAAATATGCTGATGCATGCAAATTTAGAGCACAGTGCCTGGCATGTAGTAAATGCTTAAAATTTTTATTTATGTTAACAAAATTTAATCTGAGTAAATTTTAAAGATCTTATTGGCTTTATTCAATGATTCATGAATTGGACAGCATCCAATCTAGCAGATGCAAAGGAGCTCCAAAGAGCTGCACAAGGAAAGAGATTTTATAGGCAGAAGGAACAAGGAAGTTGGATAAGGCAAAAAGCCAACTGGTTATTGCAAGGTTACTAGGGAATGGCAGGGGTTTATCAGACGATTACCTAATTAATTCTCATCAAGTTATTTCTGAGTGGTTAGTTTAAGATTCCACTTCTGGGGACTTCTCTGGCAGTCCAGTGGTTAAGACTCTGTGCTTCCATTACAGGGGGCACGGGTTCGAACCCTGGCTGGGAACCTAATATCCCACAAGCCATGCGGCATAGCCAAAAAAACAGAAACAAAAACAGAAAAGATTCACTTCTGGGAGAGCTGAAACATTTATTGAATCTCGGTTTGGTGACATGGGACTTAGGACAAGTGACTCCATTTTGGGTCTGTTGTCTTTAATGTCTATTATTAATATCATTATCAGGAAGGTCTCCTGGGCTACCTACAATGCCACAGACACGTGATGATGTCTGCTTTTCATCGGAGTAAACAGTTGATCTTATTCATATGTTTTATTTCATTTAATCTTTACAGCACACCCTATGAGATAGGTATTTATTATACCCAACTTACAAATAACAAAATTATTAAACCGTAGGGAGGCTAAGCAATATCATACAGCAATTTAGCAATGAAGTTAGGATTCCCTGACTCTGAATCCCATTGCTTCCCACTCCACTGAGCTGCCTTTACTGATATCCTGATATATTTACTGACGCCTTTACTGGGTCATGGGGCTCCAGATTTTAGCATCACCAGGTTACATAAAAGAGCTCATCTTCTTTACATGGAGAGCGCTTTTGGCCCAAGCAGAGGTTTTCCTTCATCCTGGATTCCCAGGTCACCAGGACAACTGAAATTATTTAAATTTTTTACCATTCCTCACTTTCACTTTTTACATTCTAAAACACCTCAAAAAGCCAGGCCTGTTGGGAGGATTCCACACAGCTCTCTGGGAGAGCATGTGAGTGGTTGGAAGGGTGGGTTTGAAGCCAAATTCTCCAGATCTTCCCCAGCCTTGCTTGTGTTTCATCACCTACAGCCCTGGGGCTTTGTGTCTGAGGCTGAATGTGGGGACGGGGGAGGGCTGGGTGTAAATTCTTCCACCCCATCAGTGCTGCTGGGCCTCTGGGAGCACTGTAGAGATGCAGTCCATTAAGGAATTAGCTTGGTGCTAATGCTTTCCACTGAGAAGCTATTCTGCTGGGGCCTCCCGAGGGGTAGCTGAAAGTGTTTCACTCCTATTCATTCTATTCTCTGCCTTCCCCAATTTAATGAGGTCTTTACTTTTGCCTTTAAAGAGTGCTCTCACCCCTGTGGTGTCTAGCTGTTAGCTGGAATTTGAATATAGAAGGGAGCAGGGAAAGAAGGGAAGAGAGGGAGCACAAGGGTAACCCCACGCGCACTGAGAAGGAGCTGGCTATCTCTGGCTCCCCATCTTTGGTCAGCCCTGCTTCTGCCTTTCCTGAAATTCCAAATTTTGTGTCTCAAAGACCTCCCACCTACTGACTGAACCATCCCCAGTTACAGAGCAGACTTCCTTAGGGGCACAGAGTTTGTTAATAGTCTCCACCCCCAGACCAGTAGGGATCAGAATAAATTCATATTCTCATTGGCAAATTCATTGGCAAATAGAGCCAACACAATAGCTGGGCCTCTGGCTGCCTCCACTGTCTCTGCTCCTTCCCAGGCTCTGTTGGCAGCAATCAGACAACCCTCACTGGACGGAGAGTTCCAGCAGATCCTTGGATGCCCACAGAGTGTTGAAGACAGAACTTCTGGAATATGGAGTTTCATTCAGTGTTTATTCCATTCAAGAGACAGGGCTTCTAGCTTGATCAACCTCCCAGTGATACTGCTAAATGCTCTAGATTCACCTTTAGCCTCAAGCTCAAAGCCAGCATAACTCTCCAGAGCCCTCTTTACTCTTGCTACTTTCACCCACAATGGGCAGATCTCCCCATTCTATAACCACAACTTGTCAGACTCCTAAATATTCCCGGGTGACTGAACTTCTTGTTACCGTGGCCTAAGTGATTGCTTCCCCATCTTTTACAGATGCCTCCAAGAATTAGTGTTGAGAGAGTCATATAGCCCTGGACTTTGTCTACATTGTTTAGTTCCCCTCTCTGTGCCAAGTTAGTTTTATCAGTGCCAGTCCCAATTTCCTACCATCATCCTATGACATCAAAAGAAATCTCAGAAGCTGATTTTATTCTTTGCTCTCTGTTTGTATATCTTTATTATAACAAGTACATTTCTTTCAACCTGGAATGGACTTACCAATAACAGAATGGAACTGACCTTAGCTTCTGGAAGAACTCAATGCAGTAAGCCACTGCAGAAGACTGTCTTTACATAAGTTGCTGGTAATCAGTCACCAGGCATCATATTCAGAGTCCCAGGCAATCTTTCAATGCCCACATGGCATATAGAGCTTGGCCCAATTTCTATTTCATTCAAGAGACTGGGCCTCCAGCTTCATTGGCCATGCTATAGTCCTCCCAGTGACCCTACTTAATGCCATAGACTCAGCTTTAGCCACGAGTTCAACCCCAGCCTGTCTAGAACACTTAGACATGCTTAGGTATTCAGAAACTGGGTCAACAGCAAGGAGAAGTAAACTAAGATATGGCATGATGGAAGATTGAGGCACCACCATGAAATCAGTCTGATCCCTGTCCAACTACAAGAGAGTGACAAACTCAGACTGGGCCTACCCTATCAGTTAGTGTTCAAAGTCAGGCAGCTGTTGGCAGTGGTGTTACAGGAGAATGGTTCCTTCTTAATGTCACCTGACCTCATCTGAGGCTAAACATGGTTCTTTACTTTGGCTGCACATTAGAATCACCAAGGGAGCTTTAGATATATCAGATGCCTGGTCTCCATAAACAGAGATGATGACTTAATTGGCCTGGGCATCAGCAGTTTTGGAAAACTCCCCATGTCATTGTAATGGGCAAGTACCGACAATAATGAGAACCACTGACCAGAAATGAATAGGACTCAGGTATTGATGGTGGCAACCAGACTGAAGGCTCCAGCTCTGACTTGGAAATGGAATATGAGGCAGAAGAAAAAAACAAACCTAATCATAGACTAGGCCAACCTAGATAAATTTGGTGATTTCTTCCAAATCCACCAGTTGCAGTCTAGCCAGGTCTTCCTCCCCAACCAACTGAAAGGCTGAGGTTCCTAGTGGACCACGAGAAAACTCCCTGGTGCGTTTTGCTTAAAGGACTGGACTGAACTGAGTTTAGGAGTGAAGGGTCTCACTGACCACACCTGGATGAGTCAGGGACTGACATTTTGGTAACATCACTCTTCCCATTAACATTACATCCTTAATATTATTCTCTGGCATAAAATCCTTCCAGGAGTCTCCTTTAAATTGTTACAATAAGAGGAGGCTATAGACCTGAGATGCATAGAAGATAAAATGGGCCATTGAAGAGCCTTATTTTTTGAGTGAAATGGACCAACTATATTCTTTTTACACAGTTAACCAGGAAAGAAAACCATCTGAAAACAAACCTTGTGGATGATGGCAATTTGCAGAGAGGAGATTGAGCCTGGAATGTGGTGTAGGAGGTAAGCAGTGCCAACGGCCAGTGATCCATTAGCTTGTGGAGTTGAGCAACTATTGGGTTTGCTACCAACCGTATCCAAGTGAGAGCCTTTCAGGGACGTGCAATGGCTGTCAGTCCTCGGAATAAAGCTGTGTGAGGCTGGTGGCTGTGTGAGCTGTCATTGGCTGGTTTCAATGAGCAGATGTTGCCTAACATAGCTCAGTCTCATTTCCATACAAGCAGCCCATGCCCATGCCAGGCGACCTCTGAGCAAGGGCCTTTGCTTCCCCACAATCTGCAGTGCCTTGGTTCTAGGTGAAAATGGACAGAGGCTGCAGGCGTTGCTCCTAAAACCAATTTGGGGGGAGGGAATAGATAAACTCACCACTTAATCATACACTTTTCTCATGGCTAACGTGTTGTCCCTCACAGTCTACTTTTTGCTGGGACAGTACAAAGAATCTTATGTTTATTCATATAGAATATTTATCAAGTGTCTACTTTGGGAAAGGACTATTTTAGGCACAGAGGATGGAGCAGTGAGCACAATAGATAAGCTTCTGCCTTCAGAGAGCTTATCTTCTAGTGGGAGACAAAAAAGAACCAGGGATACCTATAAATAAATAAATATCAGTAAGCATAAAAGCCATGAGGAAAACAACACAGGGTGACCTGAGTATCAAGAAGTCAGCACAGGGAATGATAGAAAAAATAGACTAATTGGACTTGATCAAAATGAAAAGCTTTTGTGCTGCCATGGAAGTGATGCAGTGAAAAAGGCAACCTAATTTTTATTTTTTAAGTAAAGGGCCAATGATCTGAATAGATAGTTCTCCAAAGAAAATATACAAGTGACCAATAAACACATGAAAAGTTGTTCAACATCATTAGCCATCAGTCAAATACAATTTGAAACTGTAATAAGATACGACTTTACACCTATTAAGAGAGCTATAATAAAAAACACAGATGAGAAGTGTAAGCAAGGAAATGGAGAAATTGGAGCCCTCATATGCTGCTGGTGAGAATGTAAAAGGATTTGGCTACTTTGGAAAGGGTGTGGCAGTTCCCCCCCGCCCCCCGCAAAATTAAACATAGAGTTAGCATATGACCCAGCAGATCCACTCCTATGTATATACTCAAGAGAAATGAAAACACGTGCCCACACGAACACTTGTATTTGAATGTTCCTAGCAGCGTGACTGTAGTAGTCAAAAAGTGGAAACAACCCAGATGTCCATCGAATGATGAATGGATAAATAAAATGTGGTATACCTATACAATGGGATATTACTTGGCAATAAAAAGTAATGAAGTACTGATACATGCTACAACATGGATGAACCTTGAAAACATTATGCTAAGTGAAAGAGGCCACTCACAAAAGCTTCCATTGTCTGATTCCATTTATATGAAATGTTCAGAAGGAGCAAAGCAACTGAGCCAGCAGGTAGACTAATGTTTGTCCAGGGACAGCAGGAAGTGGGGAGAAGGGGAGTGACTATGGGTTTTTGGAGGAGAGAGAAAAACGTTCTAAAATTGATTGTGGTGATAATTGCACAGCTTTGTGAAGATACTAAAAAACCACTGAATTGTATTCTGTACTTTAAATAGTGATGTTCTATGGCATATGAGTTATGGCTCAGTAAAGATTTTATTAAAAGAAGATGAAGAAGAAGGAGAATAAAGTAGCATCGTCTGCCCCCCCGCAACCATAGAAGGATTAAGGATTTGGGGGAAGCATTCCGTGCAGAGAGAATAGGTAATGTAAGTGCCCTAGCTTTTCCGTTTGATATTTTGTGGTAAAATAAAAAGAACATGGGTTTGGGGCCAGGCACATCATCGTCTGAATCCCATACTGACCATTTACCAAGATTAGCTTCCTTTAAAACTTTTTTTAAGCTTTCTTCTTTGAGAACTTACTGTGTACTAGATATTGCACTAATAGATTTCCATGCACTGATGTAATTTCCTCCGAGGGAGGTGGTATTATCTTCTTCTTACAGGAAGATGAGACCCAAAGTGCCTGTAACCACTACATGATACTGAGGGAATGACCTGGGATATGCACATCATCTTCTTGGCTCTTAAGTATCTCATTTATGAAGTGGAGATAATATCTACCCAACATGGCCCTGTAGATGGAAACCCATGTGTACCTAGCAGTGTGCCTAGAATTACTTTAAAAGTTTTTTTTTTAAGTTTTTATATTTAAAAAAATTTATATGATTGTTTTTTATGAATGTCTTATTTCCACATTCGATTGTGAGCATTTTTAAGAAGTGGCAATGATTTACATGCCTTTCTAATTTTAACCTTATGGTACAACAAAACTGGGTTTGGTATTTGTGGCAGGTTAAATAATGGCTTTCCCCTCAAAAGATATGTCCAAATCCTAACTTCCAGATCCTGAGAATGTTACTTTATTTGGAAAAAAGTTCTTTGCAGATGTAATTAAGATAAAGATCTTGAGATGAGATCATTCTGGATTACCCATATGGGACCTAAATAGAAGGACAAGTGCCTCTATTAAAGACACAGACACCAAGGAGAAAGCCATGTGAAAATAAAAGCAGAGGTTGCAGTTATATATTCACAATCTAAAGAACACCTGGAGCTGCTAGAAACTGGAAAGAGCAAAGAAAAATCAGAGTGGGGCCCAACCAACACCTTGATTTCAGACTTCTGGCCTCCAGAACTGTGAGATAATACATTTCTGTTGTGTTAAGCCACCCAGTTTGTTACAGCATCCATAGGAAACTAATATGGTACTTATGAATAGTTAGATTATGAATAAATAAATATTAGATTATGAATAAATAACGATTGATTGAGGGTGTTAACGACAAAGGCCACCAAGAAACAAGGAATAAAGGGAGGATTGTAATTAGTAATTTTTGAGCACAAGACACTGTTGTGATACTTTCACAGCTATTAACTTCTCTCACGCTGGAGCCAATCAGTGTGGTTAACTGTATGGATTTTGAAGTTAGAGCCAGGCGCAAGCCTTGCTCCCACCACCTATTTTATATATGATACCAGGCGGTCAGTGTCATTTATGTATATCTCAGTTCCTCCGTCTGTAAAATGGGAAAAATCATTGCATCTAAGGTGGCTGTGTAGAGTAATGAGAAGTAAAAATATTTGAGACAAGCTATTTCTCTGATGAAACAGACAGTAGGGTCTTGAAAGGCTAACACTCCTACACAGAGATGAGCTCTAGACAGACATTGCTCCCAGAATTCAGTTATAGATTTTCAGCAGTCTGATTATGATAGGCCCAGGCATGGTTTTCTTCATATATGTTTTGTTTGCGGACCTCCTTGATTCTGTAAATTTATGTGTTTCACCAAATTTGGGAAGTTTTGAGCCACTATTTCTTCAAATTATTTTTTCTACTCTTTGTTTCAGCAACTCTAAAAATCCATGTATTAGATCTTTTGATTCCCACACCCCCAAAAGTCCCTGTACATTTTTTCCAGTATTTTTTCTGTCTTTTCTTCATTTTAGGTAACCTCTATTGATCTATCTTCAAGTTTACTTTTACTGACTCTTTTCTATGTCATCTCCATTCTGTTATTAACCCCATCTAATAAATTCTAATTTCAGATACCATGTTTTTAGTTCTAAAATTTCCAACTGATCCTTTTTCATATTTTCAATTTCTCTGAGTTATCCTATCTTTTCATTCATTACGAGCATATTTTCCTTTACCTGTGGAGCATATTTATACCATTTTAAAGTCCTTGTCTGATAATTTTATTTTTTTAATTTATTTATTTTTATTTATTTATTATTTTTGGCTGTGTTGGGTCTTTGTTGCTGCGTGCAGGCTTTCTCTAGTTGCGGCGAGCAGGGGTTACTCTTCGTTGTTGTGCACGGGCTTCTCATTGTGGTGGCTTCTGTTGCTGTGGAGCATGGGCTCTAAGCACATGGGCTTCAGTAGTTGTGACTCATGGGTTCTAGAGTGCAAGATCAGTAGTTGTGACGCACAGGCTTAGTTGCTCTGCGGCATGTGGGATCTTCCCGGACCAGGGCTCAAACCTGTGTCCCCTGCATTGGCAGGTGGATTCTTAACCACTGTGCCACCAGGGAAGCCCTGGTGGGCTTTTAATACTTGAGACATCTCAGTGTTGGCCTCCGTTGACTGTCTTTTTTTTTTTTTTGAGAATGGGTCACATTTTCTTTATTGTGTATATGTTGACTAGTTTGGAGTTGTGTTCTGGACATTGTGAATGTTGTGACTTCAGTTATATTTCTCCAAAGAGTATTAATGTGTATAACCTGCATTAATTTGGTTAGGTGGGTGGCAACTCAAATCTCAGTTTTAATATTTTATATTTAGCTGGGCTATTTATAGCCCATGCATATGTGGTTCAGGCATCAGCCTGAGACTTGGGGCAGAATCTGTATGCAGAATTTAGTGTTAGTCTTCCCTGATTCTCTCCTTATTTTGAGATTGCCTCCTCAGTCTTCAGCAGCCATAGTTGCTCCAGGTTCCATCCCTTTGTTCCTTAGGTCAGAAAATTGGGTTTTCTATGGTTTTAGATTCCCTAAATTATGACTGGAGTCTGCCATCAGGTCAAAGCCCATATCCCCAATGGGAAACTCACTTTATCATGATTGCATCTTCCAGGTTTTGACTCTCCTCCAAAATCTTTTGCCTTTGTTCACACTCTAGACCCTTCAGGTGGTTGTCTTAGGGGGTACTTTGTCCCAAGTTTATAGCTGTTTTCTGTAGGAGCATCAGTCTATTGAAACTTACTGCTTCATCGTGGAGATAGAATCTTGCATTTAGCTATAGGTGGAAAATATAAGAAGCACTTAGATAATGTCTAGCCCAAGGTAATCCTCAATAATAATCACTACTTATTATTCTCATCATAACACTGTGTAAGACTAGCATTATTATTCCCATTGTGCAGATTAAGAGTAAGGGCTCAGAGTGGTTAAGTAACTTACCTAGCATCTTATAGCTAGTAATTTGAGATTTATCAAAAGGAGTAAATTTCAGTTTGGAGTTTTGGCTAGATATTTCCATTCCTGTTCTCTCTTGAATCTTCAATGACCCTGAATATCTAAGATTCATTGTCTTCCATCTGTAAATGGAAATTCATAACTGTGCTGCTGGACCCCTGATGCTGCTTTTCATGAAGAGAAATGAGCTTGAAGAATGTCAGGCTCAGGTTCACCTTATGAGCAGATATAATAAATAACCACAATGACTATTTAAATGGGGATGAGAAAAGGACCCAAAGCCTTTACTTGGCTACCACAAAGACACTCAGCTCCTCCTTTTATTAACTATGTGGCATTGATCAGTAATTTTTCCTTGAGTCTCAGTTTCTTCATCTGCGAATCGGGTGTAATAATTCCTAATCCCCAAACTGGGAGAGAATTCAGTGAGAAAGCTGACTTCCCCATGCCGGACTTTGTCCTTCACAAATGGCAGGATAGATTTAAGTTAGCAGAATTGGAATAGTGACTCCATATGCAGTCCAAAGAGAGAGGAGACAGAAGTCAGTGGCACAGAGGAGACCAGTAGTTTCTCTGGGTTTTCCCGTGGTACGGTTTTCCTTTTCAGATGGCTGGGAATGAGGCTTCTGCTTGCTGGGGAGGCCAGTCCTCAACAACAGTCCGTTCTCCTCACTGCCACACACGACCATTTTTCCCCTTGAGTGGCCTCTGGCTTTGGCAAACAATTAGGCAATGGACAACAAGACTGCACACAGTTTCTGGGGAAGTGGCTTCTTCTTATTACTTGATGCTTCATTTTTAATTTTCTTATCTTTGCTCTCATCCCAGGGGAATCTTCACATATGCTGTATTACTAAATTCTTGCAATGGAGCAATGGAACAATGGAATAAGTGATAAAAAGTATATTTTGTAATTCCCCAGTCCCTCTTGGGATGAGCTTGAATAGTCCAATCCTTTGGAGTTGTATTTGGAAATATTGGTTCATCTAAAGTTTATCACATAGGTTTTATTATCCCCCATTTAACAAATAAGGAAACTGAGAGGCAGAGATGGTATAATTTGTGCCAATCTCCACAGCTTCTTAGTGCAGAGCTGGTGTTCAATGACATTAAGGGCCATGGAAAATTGAATGTAGCTGGAGGAACACCATTTCTTTAGACTCTGTCTCTGGCTTTTACTTATAACTTTATAGCTGCAGTCTAGATTAGAGACTTAATTTTATATTTTCTCAAAGATTTTGCTTTGGATTTTTTGTATGGGAACTTGGAGAGTAAGAACCCAGTGTGTGCATCCCTTTCAATTTGGAGATTGCATTTTACATGTCTGTGGGATGATACAAGAATAGACTTATACTAAACTGTTTATTTCACGTCTGTTTACACTTCCCATTTTATTTCTGACACCTAGCTCTTTTTTCTACTGCATCACAGCTCCGTCCTTTCCAGCACAATTCTTTCCTGTCTTCTATGTGCCCAGGAACCACATAAACAAATAAAGACATAGAGCAGCACATGTAGACAGTGTCCTCGGAAAGTTGAAGTGAAATCCCCCGAGATGAAAACCTCAGTTCTCCAAACAGGCTCACCTCTTCCCCCACATGGCTCTGCTAAAGGATTTGTCTGGGAAGGTCTCTGAGTCCATGTCTGTTTGGTGACAGCTGTCCAAATGTAAGAGGTGTTATGCATTTGGAGAATGAAGTTACTTGGCTGAATTGATGGTGTGTGACCATGAGTGTCAGATGTCTGTTTTTGTGCTGGGCATTACACCCTCACTTCTTTTGGTTTCCAAA